ACACCCCCCCCCCCAGCCACAGCACAGAAGAATCATGAGTTTGAAGTCAGCCTGGCTACACAGAGAACTCAATACTTGGCCCTAGTATACATTCAATAGGTGAACAATTTTCCTTATTATAATATATTGGAGGCCACTGTTTGCACTGATCTCCTATAGTAACTGGCCAACAAGGCAGAATTACTCATGTTGAAATTCTATACCACCCAACTAAATCCAAATTGTTTATATACTGATAATCAACAGTGGAGGGAGACAATAGGCAAACTTCCATCCTGGCCAGTTTTAACTGTAAGTCCCTCTGATTTGACTTTTTTTTTTTTTCATCCTTGTTTTGGTTTTTCAAAACAGGGTTTCTCTGTGTAGCTTTGGAGGCTGTCCTCGTCTTGGCTCTAGAGACCAGGCTAGCCTCCAACTCGCAGAGATTGGCCTGCCTCTACCTCCTGAGTGCTGGGATCAAAGGTAGTTCTGTGCTTCTCTGTTTCTCCACCTTCCCAATCTCTTTTACTCAGACACTGGTTGTCCTGGAACTGATGATATAGACCAGGATAGCCTCAAAGTCAGAGATCTGCTTACCTGCCGCTAGGATACTAGGATTAAAGGACCAGCAACAGTCCACACTCAGCCTTGAGTCATCACTCTCTAGACCTGAGTTTTCGGTTGTTGTTTGGAGACAGGGTCTTAATAGATCTAAGGCTGGGCTAAAACTCACAATGTACCCAAAGATGGGTTTGAACTCCCAATCTTGTCTCTGCCTCCAAAGTGCCAGGACCACAGACAGCCCTGTACCACCATGCTTGACTTATAGGGACTTTTTTTTTTTTTTTTTTTTTTGGTTTTTCGAGACAGGGTTTCTCTGTGTAGCTTTGGAGCCTATCCTGGCACTCACTCTGGAGACCAGGCTGGCCTCGAACTCACAGAGATCCACCTGCCTCTGCCTCCCAAGTCCTGGGATTAAAGGCGTGTGCCACCAACGCCTGGCTGCTTATGGGGACTGGTCTTATTCTAGGTCCAGACTGGCTTCAAACCCATGGCAATCCTCCTGCCTCAACTTGCTGATTCCAGCTTGGATCATGAATTTATTTATTTATGTTGCCATATTGGGAATGGAAGCCAGGGCTCTGCAGTGCTATTCTGCTGAAGCACATCCTCAGACCTAATGAATTTTTGAAAGTAATTACATTTACTTATTTACCTGGGGTGTATGTGTGCGTGTCTGGATGTTAGAGAAAAGCTTGCAGAATGGCTTAGTGGTTAAGGGCATGTCTTCCAGAGGACCTGGTTCCATTCCCAACACCCGAGTTAGACAGCTCACAAGTGACTGTAATTCCAGTCCAGGGCAT